CTCCAGCCAAGCTTGGGTAAAGTGACATCATTGGCTACTCTATGTTGTAGAGCTCTTCGTAGTTTCAGTGTATGAAAATAGGTAGTTAATTCAGCCTTTTCCAGTTCTCATATGCGGAGGATTATAGTAACAATAAACTATAAAAAAATAAAATGTATGAATAAATTAAAACCTATCACCCCAATCAAGCTTATGGGAAATAAAGACCAAGATAGTGAGAGGGTACTGGGTTTGGAGAACAAGGCTTGTTTGAAAACTGCATTAGCAGAAGGCCACTCATTTAGGCACTCCAACTGTTTGACTACCTTATGCCTCAACTTTGTCAGCCTCTCTGGCACCCAGTCTGTTTCTGGGCTCGCTTTAAAGCAGTGGTTTAATTATTATAACTCCCAATAGCTTGGAACCAGGTTATCTAAAGGACCACCACCTTGTTGTGTAGATGCCTCCCCAAGTCTTAAAATCTTTCCAGATTTGTTCAGCAAGTGTAATAAGCTAGTTTGGCATTTTTTGTCCTTGTCTTTATACTGGATTAGATTTGCTGGTTTCTTTTCTTTTCTAAACTGCCCAGGTGTAACTTTCTATAAATTTGTTTGAGAACAAATGCTTTTAGCAAACAAACAAGGGAGTTAATTAAATCAACCCAACAAACATTTGACAATAATGGTGGCCAAATAGAAGGGAAGAATTTTGTTATATATCAGTGAAACAGCTCCTTGTGCTTCAAGTAGGGGGTTGAAGTAGATGTGTGTGTGTGTGTGAGAGAGAGAGAGAAAGAGAAAGAGAAAGAGAAAGAGAAAGAGAAAGAGTGAGTGCCAGAACCAATGTAAGAGGGAGAGATGGCTTAGCTGTGTGTCGGTGGACTCGCCTAGAACCCATAGTCCATCCAAATTAACATAGTCTACAAGACATACAAGTTTTTGTCTTTCTCCCCAGAGAAGCACAACCATGCTTGGCATCTGGTAAGGGAGGAGGACATGTCCAAATGGGATGCTGTGGTCCTTATGTCTGGAGATGGCTTGCTTCATGAGGTAAGGAACAGGGCAGATGATCGAAGGGACTTTGTGGTGCCCTGGCCCCAGCGTCCTTACCACCACCTTCCCTACCATACAGAACCAGCTAGGTCTAACTGCTCCAGCCAGGTACACCAGAAGAGAAATGGATAGGTGTGTTAGTATTCTTACAGGAAGTCACTGTCCTGGTTTAATGTCAGCCTACCATTTTGAAACAGAAGGGAGTCGGACTGGCTGAATTAGTATGGACTGAAAATTTTAACATTGGGCCAGAATCTTCTGTCATTCATAACTGAACAGAAGGTAAACAATTAGTACCTGCAGATTGCACTAAGATTTCCCCTTCTGCACATCTTGACCTCGGTCACTACAAATAGTGGCTGGACTATATTTAGAAGGGTAGGTATCGTTTGTTCTTTATAAAATAGCCAGAGACTTTTGTTCAATGACTAAACTTTTCTTTTTAAATAATAAAAACTCCTAACCTGCTTTCAGACTTTAGCCTCCTTTTCTTAGCAGAAGGCCTCGCTCTCAGATTAATTCCTCCATGCTACTCTGAGTTTCCCCTTCTTGTATAAGATATTAGCTGTTGCTGCTGCTGCTGCTGCTGCTGCTGCCGCCCCTCCTCTGCAACAAGTAGAAGTTGCAATGCTTTTAAAAAAATATTTTACTGGTGAAATAAAACAACCAGAAGATATGATGAAGTACAACCATAAATATAACAATGCTAATAAAATCAGAAAAGAGTATACAGAATAGTGATTAAACGAGAGACATTTGAAGAAACTAAAAATATATCCATAAAGTGTTAATATAGAACTAGCTCAATTCTTTAACATGTTATTAAATCTAACCATATAGACCATCTATTGCTCCATCTTCTCAGTTTCAGTACAATAGGTTATTTCAATGCAACGATATTTTATTTTAATTATTTTTTGTTTATACATCAAGTTTGTCACCGCCCATCTCATTAAGTATATAATATACTTAGACCCTTAATATTCTATTATTTAGGTGCCTTAGAGAAGTTGCAATGCTTAATCAGGGGGAGCAACAACAGAACTGCGGCACAAAGGCCTTTGTTTTTTAAGCTACCATTTTAATATACTGCTCAACTACATTTAGCTAAGTAATGTTTACATGTTGAAACTTCAAATGAATTGGTTACATTTGGGGTGGAGATTTTCTTTCTCTTCCACTTTTCTACTATGTTCATAACTATGATATTGGACCAATAAGATTTGATCTCCTAACTAATGACACAAAAGTTAAACTGGGAATAAATAGTTTTCATTTTCACCTTTACAAAGATGGACTGAACGTATTTGTAGAGATGCTGCAGAGAGCAGAATCAAGAAGCTACTTGGGATTGTCCTTTTGCTTTTCTAAAAGAAAAGAATTTCCCTCATCTTCACAGTTGGGGAGAGATCCTTGAAACATTTCAAAGAGGAAGCCATGAGTCCAGATGATTGTAAGTTCCCATGGTTTTGGAACAAATCCCCCCACCCTAAATTATCTTGGCTCTGGATCTGATAGGGTTAATTCCCTTTTATTGACTTCAGTGGGAGCAAAAGGAGTAGTGGGAGGGGAATGGAGGTGGGGGGGGGAGAAAAAATCACTCCTCCCCAGGGCTTTAGGACAGAATTTTTGCCACACCTTACTAGAACTCCTCTCAGTGTTTCTGAACAACATACTCTAATCCTCAATCAAGATTCCTCAGTCAAGATTCCCCACTTTAGGAACAGAAGATTAAACAATTGTACAATTTCAATGGCAATGCTGAATCCAAGAAGTAGAATACAGTGAATTTTAAGTTAAGTCAGATTAATTGGATTGGCAAATGTCAAAGCCCTCTTGTAGCTTTGTCATAAGCACTACTGACGAGAATGTGGGGATAACAAGAAGAAGCTTGTCATTACTGTGTGTGTATGTGTGTGTGTGTATGTATATATGTATGTATGTATATGTATATGAATATGAATATGTACTGGAAAAACATATGGGAGAAAGAGAAGACACATAACACCAGTACAAAGTGGCTGCAGGACCTG